ACAAGTACAGGTCCATTTACAACACGGTGAGGGACAATTAAAATGCATCGGATCTTTTGGACTTGGTTGGGTTGTTGAGGTTTCAACATTTCATGTCCTGATCATTTGACTTTCCCATTTTCAGAAATTCAGGGCATACACTGCATTCCCCGACTTCTTCCGCACTACAACAGCAGCATGGTGGAAGCAAGAAATCCAGGATTTCTATAACAAAACCACAAAGTTCGATGGCATCTGGATTGTGAGTAACCCGAAAGAGAAGGAATGTATTAAATGACCTAATTATGTCGTTCTGCCTTATTTTATTTTCACTTTTTAATGTCTGCATCTGTAGGACATGAATGAGCCTGCCAGTTTTGTCCACGGCACAGTTGGAGGGAAGTGTCTTGGTAATCCACTTCTAGAGAACCCCCCTTATATGCCACGTAAGATACTCACAATTATATATTTTATTCTCCTCATGTTGTTATTACATTTTTAAGCTATGATGTTAATATGAGGAGTATGGTTTTAAAGGATTCTATATGTTTGTTCTTGTGTGTGTGTTTGTGCACCCTCCCAAAAGCGCTGGAGTCTAAACACCTCGGTTTAAACCACAAGACTCTGTGCATGAACAGTGAGCAGATACTCAGTGACGGAAAAAAAGTCAGACACTACGATGTCCACAACCTCTATGGCTGGTCCCACACCAAGCCCACCTATGAGTAAGGGCATATGTGCATAAATCTGTGTGTTTACGTGTGTGTGTGTGTGCATGCATGCATGTCTTCTCGTATGCTAACTTCCATATTCCTTGTGGCTCAATATATTATTTTATATCTAACAAGTAAATATATCACTTGTAAGCATAAACATGAAACTTATTTGGCTGATTAGCATAATTCCAAAGATATGTTGTTTTTATTGCCTACTGAAAACAGGCTGAAGTAGACAAATAATCTCAATGCTACATAATCTTAACACAGTCGAATCTAATGTGGGTGAAGAGAAAAGAGATCGGGAGGAGCTGAAACTATTATTGCAAACACATTTAGGAAGAAAAGGCAGCCGCAGGAGCTGTATAACTGATATCTTCCAGCTATCCAAAGAAATACAGTCTCATCAAATCTTTATGATAATCACCAATGTGAAACTACATTGTTCCTCGTGGTAAAATGTTCTTCTCACCACAGGGAGGCCAGATTGCAGAGTTAGCTACAAAGGCACCTGGGGATGCTCAGTACCATTGGGCCTTGAGCCCAGGTGCTTTAGCTGAGGAATTGTGTCATTTTAGCACTGTGCTGAATTTAACAATCAAAATTAATTGGCTAATTCGCTTCTAAAATGAATGTATTTAATTTAAGAGGGAGAAGACACTTTTACATTTGACTCGTTGCTAGTTTATGTATGTATTTGTGTTATTTCCATGTGTAAAACAAGTTCTTGAGTATCTCTTCTCTGTGTATTTAGTGCCCTGCTGAATGTGACAGGTAAAAGAGGCATAGTGGTGACCAGGTCCACTTACCCCTCCAGTGGAAAATGGGCTGGACATTGGCTGGGAGACAACTATTCGAGCTGGGACCAGCTATACAAATCCATTATAGGTACATATAGGCATATATTGCAAATATACTCTTTGAGATAAAACTTATTATAACTGGTGTTGGCAGTCTACATTGTGACCTGAAATCTGAGAATAATAGGGTCTTGCACAATTATGAGAAGGGGCTGATGTGATTGATCACACATGCTAGCAATCTGCAATTCTGAAAAGAAAAAGTATTTATTTTGGCATAACTCCCCATTTTCCTTTATTCTACAGGCATGATGGAGTTCAGTCTGTTTGGCATCCCTTACGTAAGTATCATCATCTAAACTTGGTTTTGACAAGACATAATCTTATTGATGTGACCTTGTCCTCTCTAAGTAGATTACAGCAGCCTGAGTGATGTTATTTTGTTTGCTAGACCCTTTGATCAGAGGACATCTTGAAATACAATGTGAAGCATGTTATTACAAGCCCCCACCCCGCGCAAGAGGCCTATAAAACCATATACATTTAATAGTCTTTAATAAAACTTACATTTTTTCATTGTTCTATGTCTTTGATAGTTTGCCTCTCTGTCTCTTTGTCTCTATATCTTCCTCTTCTCTCTCTCATATACTGGCATTGTGTGGTCTCCCAACTTCCCAGTGTGTCTAATAATAATTATAAACGGACACCTTATTGATCCGTGTATGGTAAATCATTTGCATGCCCCCAGCTAAGCCGCAGGGTCACATACACCATATCCCTAACTCATGCAGTGTCTTGCTCAAGGACACTTCAGAAAGATGACACTTGCCACAACGGTAGTGTGACCCCAGGTGCTGTGGTTGAAGACTGCTCTTTTTAGTCACACCTGTACCCTGGTGCCCAACTTTCTGTCCATCTCTGTCTTCTCAAACACACATACATATAAATGCTGACGCTTTTTTTGTCTGTCCTTCTTTCTCAGACCGGAGCAGACATTTGTGGGTTCTTTAATAAAGCTCAATATGAGATGTGTCTTCGCTGGATGCAGCTGGGTGCCTTCTATCCATACTCACGCAACCACAACGGCCTGGGCAACCCGGTGAGTGAATTCAAAACAGGAGAAAAACACGAGGGATGTGTTGAGTTGTAAACCCACTTAAATTCTTGCTTATTTTTGTTCTTAGTTGTCGTTCTTAGTTTCATGCTGATGGCCAACTAGGAGCCATAACATCACCACTGTTAGTTCTGTGTAGTCAATCTAACTTGACTTAGCCATTCTCTTTCCTATAAACTCCTCGGACATATTAAAACTGGTAATGGTAAAAGAATAATGTGCTGAATAACGGAGGATTGAATGATTCTATTTTATGTAGTTGCCATTGCCATGTTAAGGGGAATAGTTCTACTACCAATAATCTAATAAATTTGAAAGAATAACACCAGAAAATTTAAGAAAAAAGATAATCCACAATGTGTTAAAATTTAAATTTAATTTATGGGGAGAAACCCTGGCAATCCCAGGAAATGAGGGAGTCATTTTAAAATCACAGACCTTCCTCCAACCCAAAAGTGTCAATACATGTCAGGCAACACATTACAATTGTTGCATTCTAAATGTGCATGCTCTGCTTTACAACCCCGCTTAAGGAGCCAAATAAGTAAGCGATATGAGAGCCGTTTCCGTTGGCCTTAAATAACACCATGCTAATGCTCGCTGTATCTTGAGAGATGACCAAAATCAGCTTGAGCTAGCATATATTCTTGTGTTCTGAAAATAGGGGCTCAAGTTGTGTGAATATAGTTATACAAAAAATATTTACCAACACTCCTGTTGTTCTCAAAAAATACAAACTAGGTTGCTTTCTCTACCTCTCTTAATCTGCACCTGAAATACACAAACACACAAAAAGATAGACCTGTTTGGTGGTGTAGTGTCGGTGGCATTCATTCTAGCAGTGACCTTTAAGAGTGTTGGAACACATCTGAGAAATCCAATAACGCCCGTCCGGAGATCGATCCCACCGGGCGAACTTTCTCTGCACTGGAGTCTGCAATACTAGACAGAACACAGATGTGTGGCATTTGTGTGTGTGTGTGTGTCAGTGCCTGTGCTTTTTAACGGCATGGAGTGGGGATATAATTGAATTCTCAAGGTGATCTGGGCACCACTGCACACCACCTAACCTCCACTCCACACATACACCCCATGATTCCAATCATTTAATAATGGCTTGCAAATGGGTGTTTAAACATGGAGAAAACTGACAGAAAAAACACACCGACGGCAGGAGAGGTAGGCACAAAATGACAGTTTGAGAGGTAGAGACAAAGTCAGGAAGAGAAAAAAGTAAGAGGGATAGAGAGATGATAGCAGTGTAGGTATTTATACCAAATAGGAGGAAAAGGAGCCGAGGGACTGAGAAGTGAAATACTGACAAGCAAATACAGATAAAGGAACAGGGAGGGGAAGAGAAGTTCATAGGCTACGAGACAGAGAAAGTGAAAAAAACGTTGAGGAATAAAATTGGCGGAGAATAAAACAAGATGGCAATTTAGCAAGTTAAATGGTGGTGACACAGGGTGGTGATAAGGAGGTGAGAGCTGGGATGAGGGCGATTTTGAAACACCTGCGATCAACTCAGAAAAGGAACGCACGAGAGGAGGGTGCTCGGTGAGAGGACGCGAAAAAAATACACAAACCAGGTCTGGGAGATTGAAGAAAGAGGGAATCAAGGTCAGCTATTTATGTAGTCTACTGTAAAAACTGTATTATTTTTCGAGTCAGCCATATAAAATCCCCAATCATCAGACAGTTAGCGACTGTAACCTCCAGTCTGCTTAACAAGGCGTTTGACAACAAAGCATTAACACCACAAACCAGACCAGAGGGTACACACAAGGTCAGAGACAGTGGAGAGAAAGAAAGAGGAGAGTTTTTGCAGAGTCATTCCCAGAGCTCCGTCACGCCTAGTGTCTCTTTGCCCTCAGACAACTTTCAGTGTTGACCTTGAGATAATTTCACTGCACCAGCAATATACTGCAGTGTCCATGGACATATCAGAACAATGTAAAATTAATTAAACAAGATAAATTCTCCACCAGCAGTGCAGTCATATTCAAGTAATGTATATTGTTATTCACCCAAAAGGGGCATATTGTTCATCTAAACATGTTTTCTTTTTATGATGAGAGCTCTGCAATGCAAAACAGAAACTCAAAGGTTTATGAGACGGGGCGAGGGAGTAGATTCCAGACAGATAAATGAAGAAAAAGACCAAGCAGAGGAGAGAAAAGATGAGAAGGGCTGACACAGCCAGATAACCTCATTTTTCCTTGAGGCCATGCGTGTGAGTGTGCACACGCACACACACACCCCATACATATCTGTCTACAATCAGTGTGTGTGTGTCACAAAGCCCTTTGCCACTATAAATGTGGCCATAAATTAGGTGAATTCATAAGATGGATTCTCTGTCTGCTTCTCAGTCTTCAGCACTCCCTGCTCTCATCTCTTCATCAGTCCCTCCTCTGGTTTTTCACAGATGAAAAGTCTACCTTGCGGGCTCACGGTGGTGTAACTGTCAAGTCATGCAAGATTTGTGTGACTGCATGTTGAAAAATATAAAGAGAGTTTTTGGGGGATTATACTGTTGGTGACTATCCACCTTTTCGCAAAACTAGGTAGATTGCCTTGGTTGAATGCTCAGTGAGGAACACAGTGCTGAACTGAGTGTCTGCCCTTTGTTGGGACTTGTCAGCTATCAATAGCTGCCAGCAAAGGTTTTGCAACTTTGGGGACAGTCTTTTTTGAGCTCAGCGGTATTTGAGGCAAGCTTGAGCACGTGTGTTCCATGGAGATATGGTCCCTGCAGTCCAGGCGCCAGTAGAGTGCAAAAGCAGCACTAATATTTGATCCGTGATTGTTTACCATACGACTTTGTTCCAGCACAGGCACAAATGGGGATATTTTCTATGGCTTCCAGACATCAGTGGAAATTCCCATATTTGTGGAGATGGCAAAAGATTCCATAGCCTGCCTCCACATTAAGTCCTGTGTCAACACACTTGTTTGATAGTTTCAATTTCTCTGTAGCCAGTGGCTGTCAGGATGCTAGCTTCACTTGTCTGTTGTTACCCGCTTCTGATGGGCAACAACAACGTCCAGCATGAGAGATAATACATTTTTTTCTTGCTAATTCAAAATAGCTTTGCAATCTCTGCACTGCACATTTAGACGGTGCCACACCAAGGTCAGAATGGTTACATCATGCAATGCCCTTCACCGAATAATGTGGGATTTTAAGATTATTGATTGTTATGCATTAATAAACATATCACAGATTTCCCTATTAGCAAGTCATTTTTCATCCTGATTATTAGCTTACAAGCTTAATTCAATGCGATATACGTCTCTCTTTGTACATTGTGTATCTACTACCAACACATGACACAGATGATTGGAGTTGAGACGAGAGGAAAGAAGAGAGGGTGTATTAATATATTACATTTAAAAATAAGCTGAAGCTTAACAGCTTGTTCGCACTGCCTACCTGAGCAGCGCGTGTGCGCAGAGTAATGTCTTGCATTTTATTTCGCCGCCCATGTTATCAGTCACACTGCCCACCTGAAGTCATGGGTTGTCTCAGCTGCATCTATATTATACCAGCCAACATGTACACATTCACTTAGTTCATTGGTCTATATCTGTAGAATATGGCATGGAAACAAATATAAATTTAAATCTAAAAAAGTAAAGCAGGCTCATACTCAGACATTCAGATTTATATTATCAGTATCTCTCTTTCTGTCTCTGTTTAACACTTACACACACACACACACCTAACTCACAATGGTAATTTCTTCCTGGTGAACACATCTGATTGTAAGGTATGATGGTGCAAAAGGAGGAGTACTAAAAAGGGAGGCAGGTAGAAGAACTCGTGGGTTTCCAGATAATTACAATCTTGTAAATTTCCTAAGAAAATTAAATGATAATCTGGTAAACTCCTTAGGTCATAAGATAATGGAAATGTTCTGTATTCAATCATGTGCTGGTCGGCCTGTACTTAGTATCCACTGGGCTACCGTTAATAACTATTATCAAATCTGACCCAGCTAAATTGCAGCTGGGAAGAAAATGTCTGTCATTTTATTGGTCTCTGTGATGATTTTAATGATAATATCTTATGATTTTTTTTCTTAAATTGAAAGACAGGAGACATGAACACACAGATTCACATTTAACTGCATAACAAAGTTCCCCAAACACGCATACACACACAGAGTTATATGCAAATGAAGTACACACCAACACGTACACACACGGTATCATAGGGAGGAGCATATGGTGATGACACGCTTCAGATGAAAATCTTCACGAACCTCAGTGTGTGTGTGTGTGTTCGTGCATGTACTTGATCAGACATATTATTGTCCTAAATACAGTTCCAGAAAATGAGCTAATACATTTGGCCCATATATACAGAATGACAGTACACCGTGTCCTCTTTTCCTGTATCTTAAGGGAACACTTGTTGCCAATTAAAATTAGGTAAATGTCAGTACAGCGTGGGGCGGGAGAGTGCGAGCATCATTTATTCAGTATGAATGCGAGTTGGCCATTTGAGTATTTCTGGTGTGCTACAAACTAGCTAGTGTCGCTGTCAGTTACAGTCACAAAGTTATTCATTTGCAGCATGTTGTGAAACCCAAAAAGAAATGAGTCAAAACTGCAAACACAATGACAAGAAAAGAAAAACGCAGCTGTGTGTAAATGTACATTTATTTCACAGGAGAATCTAAAGGTAATGCATTCATACTCCACTGGCTTGTTTTTCTGCATAGCCCTGCATGTCTGTGTGTATCTGTACTTGTAACTGAGACAAATTAACCAGCAACATCGGTTTTGAGGTGTATATCCACAGAAACAGTGAATCTGTATACTCAAACACTGAGCATTTGTCTCCAGCTACAAGTAAACAATGTCAGCCAGTGGATGTTATAGGTATTTTGAGTTTTTGCATTTTGCATTCCCCAAAACAGGGTGTCCATCCTAAAAGTTAACAGGTTATCTGATAAACTAAACACCTCCCACAGACACCAATTGTCCAATCATAGCTTAGCAACTGCAACTAGGAATGGCACGTCTGTCAAGCTTTGGTCTACATGCAGAGGCCATGTACGTGGGGCTGTAATAAGAGTGATACTCTTGGATGAGCTTTGATGATGCAATTTTTTTTTACGAGAACAATGCTGTTTCTTTATTCCAAGACTTCTACATGGATCATCACTGGCAAGACAGCATTTTTAACCAACTAACTGCAGCTAACATTAGTTTATCTAGCTAAAATCATGTGAGCAACAAATGCAGACAACAGAGCAAAAAAAAGCCAAACTCCTCTTTAAACACACATCTGTCACCATTTTGTATTACTATTCATTTTGGTTAACCTGTTTGTAAAGAATACTTTTATATTCCTTTTTTTTCCATCAGAGACAAGATCCTGTTGCTTGGAATAGCACCTTCTCCGAGGCATCCCGGGACGTCCTGAACATCCGTTACACCCTCCTGCCCTACCTGTACACACTGATGTTTGAAGCTCATACAAAAGGAAGCACAGTAGTCAGACCACTCTTGCATGAGTAAGCACAGACCAAGCAAAACACACAAAGGGGTCTTTTCTGTTAACAACATGGCTCAAGCATTACATGTAATCACTTAATCAGATCATATATTTGCTACCAGGACGGGTCATTTCACCTGGTTTGCTGCCAAGATAACCTGATTTTAAACTACATGTGATTGCTGGACTAAAAAAACTATTTAGGAAGAGCTTTAATTTAAGTGCTTCAACACGTTTTCAGCACCACTCTGCTTTAATGCTTAACTAATTTTTAACTAGTTTGGGAAATCTTACCATCAAAGCCTCCTTTATTAGCTACAGATGTTATTGGAACGAAAGAAAAAAAAATCCCCTTTTATTTGCATATCCATACATTATGGAGTGAGGTTAAAGAAGCTGCATTTGCTCATTTGAATAACTTGACAGGGGAAGGAAAATTTGAAGTGTCTTCCCTGCCACAGCAACAGCCATCAAGAAGCCCTTGAGCAAGGCACTTTCTGTTTCAGTTCCAGTGAGACTGTTTAGAGACCAACCGTAGATGACTGTGGCTATACTTGGCAGCTCCCAGATGTGAATGTGTGGAACCGTATGAAAAAAAAAGAGACTTATTTATTCATTTTAAGAGACTCTTCTAAAGTCACAGATGGTATTTAAGGAGCTGGCAGGGTGAGTCTGGCGGGGTTATTTGGCTTGCATCTTAAAACCATTGAATTCTGAATGAGTACTTGAACAGTCGTCTGGGCTGAGGACACAGGAGAGAGCGTTGGTTACAGTTTTTCAGTCAGGCTTAATGGCATCTGTGCTGGTGTGTTGCAGGTTTGTGACTGATAAAACTACATGGGAGATCTACAAGCAATTCCTCTGGGGACCTGCCCTACTTATCTCCCCTGCCCTCGACCAGGTATAGACGCGCTTTAGCTTTTTTTTTTTTTTACTATTTGATTGTTATGCATTAATAAACATATCACAGATGCAACTTTTCTGTCATTTCAGGTATAATCGTATCCTCTGCTTATATGTCTCAACTATTTGGTTGACCTCATTCTTTTGATTAACTGTTAACTTTGTGATTGACAGGGAGCCAGGGATGTGGATGCCTATGTTCCTAATACACGCTGGTATGACTTCCACACGGTGAGTCCATGCCCATAACAACCAGAAAACAGTTAGAGAGACAAAGTGACTGAAAAATAATTACAGTATATGTTATTCAAAGAGGTAACATCTGACTTGCTGATTAGTGTTTACCTAATGTGGATAATAGTCCTAACATATGAAAGTATGTCTGTGCATCATATCTTGTGCTGAAGATGCAAAGCACCGCATCTATGAGGTGCAAATTATTTTTACAAAAACAAATATGAAGGCAGAACAAGACCAAAAAAATAGACTTAAACCACACTTACAACAAGAACACAAATGACAATATTAACAAGAGACATCTTTGACAACATCATTAAGGAGTTGGAGCTCAACAACTGCAGAAGGCGCCTTGATGACAAAAACAAACATCCAATCACTCTGTCTCTTTCTAGCTAGGGGACTCCCCATCTGTTAGACAGCACCAGAAAGCCAAACAAAACACAAGAAACAGTATAAACTGGGACATGGGGTGGTGGAGAGGAGTGGTTACCTCCATTAAACTTCTCCCTTCAGCAAACCGAGATGGGCAAGCTGTTAGAGAAAGGACCAAGGACAAAGTAAAAAATACTTTAAAGAGGAAGTTTGCAAAGAAGTCTTTTGGCGTGTAATAAATTACTGAAATGTTTCAGACGTAGCCTTTATAGATGTCACATATTTTACTGCACGCTGGGTGATTTACCAGCACGCAAATGCCAATTTCCCACAAAGGAATTGTTGAATAAAATATATCAAAGTTTAATTACCCATACAGTATTTCTAGAACTTTAATAGTATGCAATTATTATATGGTTTCATCAGGCCAGAGATGTTGGAGTGCGTGGCCAAGTGGTTACGATGCCGACACCCTTGAACCATATTAACCTTCATATCCGAGGAGGATATATCATACCCTGGCAGAAACCAGAGAACAACACACATTACAGGTAAGTGCACACACATCATGGCAGCACCCAGCTAAGTGTGTGTGTGTGTGAGGGGGGGGTTAGACAAGACTTTGCCTTGCATGACCGACACACATCAAAATGAACGTCATCTATGATTGTTAATGTGTTAAAGAAAGAAGCAGTGAGAATGAGAGAGAGAGAGAGAGAATGTTAGAGGGTGATAAGTGTTCCACATGCAGTGAGATCAGGTGGATGCCCCCAGCAGGAATGTTAATGTATTTGTCCTCAACAGCAGGTATAAATAGGTGTTGTCCTTTAGCAATATGCTTTAACACTCTCTACCCCTTTTGTTTCAGTCGAAGGAATCCTTTAGGACTGATCGTTGCCCTGAGCGACAGTGGTACTGCTCAAGGATCACTCTTCTGGGATGATGGAGAAGGAATAGGTAAGTGAAAAGGTCACCCTTGAACACACACACACACACATAGGAAAACATAGAGTTTAATGTTTTATGGACTGATTATTCATCATAGGCACTATTTCGTTCAAGAGTTAGTGCAAGTTATTTCCTTCAGTTGGTATAAGGCACGATAGAGGAGTAAACATCATAGATGGCAGACATATTATCACAAACAGACACAAACTCCTTGGGCCCCTTCAATGCATTTTTGGTTGTTAGCCAATGGATGGCAGTGTCAATCATTTGTTGGTCTACCACTTTACTCCAAACTAGAATATCGCAACAACTGTCAGATGGATTGAAATGTAGTTCCCACATTCACAACTTTGATCATAATAATCATCATCAGGTAAAATTTTGAATTTGTCCAATACTTTGATTCACGACCAATGCATTGCGAAACAAAATGTAGCCCCCAAACACCTCTTTAGAGATCATAAAGAGTGAAGAATGAAACTTTACAAGTTGAATTCGGATTAAATCAAGATTTACTTTACATTGTCAGGGCCTCATTTTTAACTAAAAATACACAGAAGTTCACCTCTTTTAAGCCTTTCAACTGAGAAACAAAAACTTTTTTTGAAAAAATGTTGATAGATTATAGTAGTGTGCAGACAAAAAGGACTAAACTTGCGTCCACACCAGTATATCTGAAATTCATGTACAGTATGAGAAAGCAGATGGAGTTATTTTTACTTAATATGAATTTCTCCATTGTTTTTATCAGGTAGACACAGAAAACTACAACATAGAGTCTCTCCACTTCCTCACTTGTTCTCTCTCACCCACATACACTCACACACTGATATACGGACAGAATCAGTCTCAGAAGTGCCTCTGTGAGAAGATGCACTCCTCTGTGAGAGGCATGTTTTTGTTGGGACAAAGAAAGAAAGGGGGAGATAGAGAGAGAACGAGGAATGACAGAGAAGGGGAGTGACACAAACTATTACAGTAATTCCCTGTGTCGCTGCCTGGAGATATACTCTCCATCACTCCTCTTTTATCTGCTCGCTCACTCCCCTCTTCTGCGTCTCCCTGTCTTTCTGCAGTGTAGCCTCCCTATGTCTTTCTTGTTTGCTTTGCCCCTCGCTATGGTGCCTGCTTACCTGTATTATCTGCTTTTCTTGAGTTCTGTTTGTTTGAGTCTTACTTCAGAGAGTTAGCTACTCACTCTGCTATCAGTCAGACTGACTCATCTGTGCATTAGTCACTCATCAGTTATTCCCTCATTCATTCAACCACAGTAGGTTTGAATTACCCTAATTCTATTATTTGCTCAGTTAATCAACCAGTAATAAGTGAGTATTTTAATGAGTCAGTGCTGTAAAATATTAACCAGCAGTGGGATGTAACTAAGTACATGTACTCAAGCACTATTAAGAACAAATTTCCAGCTCCACCTCAACCAACAACAAATCCTGCTTTTACACTAATGCCTGAGTAATAATAATCTTCTAATCTAATAATAATGATATATAAAATAATAGTACAATAGTCACAGTTTTCTGCATTACTTACTTAACATTTCCCTGATTATACTTAAATACTTTTACTTAAGTAACCTTTAACTGATTATTTTATACAGTGTGGTATAAGGACTATTGCAAATAATATTACATGTCTGCCAATAGATCCTCCTAAATGTTACACACTGGACCTTTTAATAAATGTTCTAAATACTCCTCTACTACTGATATTAACTTATCTAACCAGTCACTTAGCTAATCAGTTTGACAATTATTTGTGCAGATTTTCAATATTTCATTCACTCATGAATGCAACCCTTAACTACATTTAGTTATTTATCCACCTCATCCAGTGATTATTTATTTGTTCATTCAGTCAGTCAAATGAATATTAACCTACTCCTGTGGTCCATATGAATGCTCACTTATTCATAGTCACTCATCTATTCACTTCTTTCTGTCTTTTTATCATTCATTCAGGTCGTCATACACCTATTTTCTCTGTCCTTCCACTGTCTCCATTTCTCACTCTGTATGTAATTCACTCTTATTTTCTCTCCTCAGACACAGTCCAGAGAAATGAATATCTGATGGTCTCCTTTGCAGCTGAATCGGTGAGTTCAGGGGCCAACTACATGTCACATCTCTTTTTTTCTTCTTCATCGTCATTATTGTCATTAATGCAGCGAGACTGGTGAATAAGTCAGTGCTATGAAATGCAACTGGCTGTGGTAGGCGGATGTCAAAGGCTAACTGTTGGAAACCATTAGCACAGAATTCATGTCTTACTCTGGAGTGGTGATTTGAATGTAGCTTTTACTCATTCTGGCTGAGACAAAATTCTCACTTCAGAAACTTCTTTTGACACCTGTATCAAAGACATACAAAAGCTTATGTTGTTGAATCGCTCAATAATAATAGTATTATTATAATTTAAAAGTAGATCATTTTCATTCAACTTTAACCAAAATATTTAAAAGCTTTAACAATGAGGATTTTACCATCAGAAATTATGAGGTAGTGGAGAGGATTTATGCAAACACATGGCAGTAGCTTTTTTATGGGTATACTCAATGTTATTGTCCCATTCTCCTTATTGCCTTTGTTTTAAGATTTAGCAGTCTTGTACATTTCATGTTGACATTACAATTATTTAGAAATTTTAAGCAGGTAGATAGTGTAGATGTTCATTTGTAGACTTGTATAATGATATAATCTAGAGCCTTTAGTTTTGTGTATCACCAAGCCGACCGCCCTAATGAAGTCACAGTGTCATTTTCTGATCTGATGTGAGGTTTTTGTGGTGCACACACCTGTTTAGTATTTTCATGGCTCCGAAAGAACAAGCTCGAACCGAGGTGGTTGGAGTGGAGCAGCTGTGGTTGTGTTTATGCAGATCACAGTCTGTTTCTGGTACTTGTTTTGTCACGAAATTGCACTTAAAATTTCTGCCTACTCAGACAACCTCTTATCACAAACACAAGCACAAAGAGCAATGTTGTGGCTTTAGTTGGCAAAAGCACAAACACCAATTTCAAAATGACAAAAAAAAACTTTAATTTATGTTGTATTTGCTTCTTTCACCTAGTACACATTTGAATGTGTATCAAAATACAGATTTGTGTGTGATTAAAGCAGAGTCTGTTCCATTCAGATAATTAGTGGTTTCCAATACTGCAATCTACAGATGCTTCAATCTACAATCTCTAATTTGATGAATAGCTATGTTTAATTGGGTAGACACCTTACACTAAATAATATTAAATAATTAATATTAAGGCATAGCAAGGAGTACAACAACATAGATACACTAAGGTGCATTAAACGATCTGTCAGATAAAGCCACAACCATTGTTCTATGTGCTTGCATTTGTCAAAAGAAGTGGTCTAAGGTGTAGAAATTAGGGTGCAATTTGCCAAAATAGATACAAAATTGTCACCCCACGTTGGCACATACGATTTTATGTGGAGCCATGATATTACCAATGTGTTAAAAATAATAGATATAAAGGAGGACAACAAAATATGAAAATGTGTCTGTGTTTGTACCTCTGCTGCACCACATTGCGTGTGCACAAAAATAGAGCCCAAAGAGTTTGTGTTGTATGTGCAAGTTTTATGGCCAAGTTCAGTGAGAAGCGAGTGTTTACCAGGCCACAGCTTGATCACATTTTGAGTCCGACATGACAGATCCTCCCTAATCACTGGGACTAATGGGACTAACCCAGCCCTATTTGCTTCTTAGCCAAGCAAAGGCGCATAATCGCACACATACACACATTAATGAGCACACGTTTAATCACAAACATACACACATACATACTGTATATGCGCACATCTACAGTACACACATACCCACATACAGCTACCATGGCCAAACATCTGTGGCTGTCCTCTGCCTACCATCAGGCTCATTCCAAAGCAATTTCACACAGCGATAAAACAGGCACACTGTCTGACAGCCAAAGGGGGAGAAAGCGAGAAAGCGAGTGTGTGTGTTTTTTGTGTTTGAATGTGCTTGTGTGTGTGTTTGTGTGCGCATGCACGCGTGTGTGGGTGTACGTGTGAACAGGCAGATGTGAGAAGATGAGGATAAGTTGGGCAATGAGGCCAGCGCTGCCTGGCAGATTAGCAGATCGTATGCCATTTTGGATGGCTATCTGAATGTAGATGTGTGTGTGTGTGTGTGTGTGAGAGAGAGAGAGAGGACATTTTAGTTTTCCTGTTTTTAAGGGGCTGCAAAAACAAAACATAAAGTAAAAATTTTAATTCGGTGTATATAAAACTAATGATTTGGAGATAGATACTCAAACGTTTTTTTTTTGTTTTGTTTTTTGTTTTTTTGCATTGTCTGTATTCTATTTCTCATAAACTCTATTTGTCTCTTCACCCTCTCATCTCCAACACTTTCAGAACACCCTGTCCAATAAAGTTGGCCACAGTGGACTGGCCGCTGCTGAACGCTTGACCCTGGGTGTGGTGAAGGTTTGGGGTGCAGGCAGTGTTAAGATCACAGGGGTAACCCTAATAGACGCAACCGGAGCATCATATCCACTGACTCTGCAGCACAACACTGACACTCAGGTAAGAAGAGTTTTGGATCTTTAGTTCACCATTTAGTTACCGTAGTAAACTGCAACTGTAGCTGACTGCTTGCTCATGGTGGGAATTGTTGGGTTTCTGCAAATACTTTTATAAGGAGTATGGTCTAGACCTGAGATAACTTCTGTTATGATTTGGCACTATACAAAAGAAATAAATAAGTAGTAGTAGTTATCTAAATATGTATTAAATTACAAGTTAAACTTAATTTAGTAAAAGTTGGATCAGTTCTAACTGAGAATAGTTAACCCTTAAATAAGTTATTAACATGAATGAAATGCCAATTTCTGAAAAAATAAGGGTGTGTACTTAATGAAACTGATAATGCGTGGTATATAACAAACTACATCAAATTGCAGCTTTAAAGCCACAGAAAAACTTTTTTTTTTTCAAATGAATACTGTTTGCAGTTTCCAATTCGTGCTGGATTTTCTTACACCATTTGCTTAAAATCAACTATAGCTATTGTTATGCTGTAACATATTTTTTCTGCAAAGTCTTATTCACTGATCATTAAGAACATAAATACTAGACCAAGGCATCTGCTAGCAGGCATGGGAAACTCCTATGGTAATGGAACAATATTAGCTAATGGGTTTACAAGCATACATATTCCACTGCATCCCACAAATGCACTCAGTGAAATTTCTGCTCTAATAACCTCAAAATAAACATATTAATCACTGTCTAACATGCATACAATCAGTGTCATTGCATTTAATAGTTCACTTTGCACATTCATATCATAGCTCAGCAAGCTCCGTTCATCACTGCATGCACACATTTCATAAACACACCCCAGTTTTCAAGTTGACTGAGTATTTCGATGCAAGTCAAAACCTGTCACTTCAACAACCAAAAAAAACCCCCAAAAAACACAGGTTCACCACTCAACCCCTGCTGTGCCGCCCATTGTCATCTAATAGCTGTAATCAACTCTGCATTTCCCCAGACACTGTTGTTTTGATATGAACACAGAGCTGAAGACTTGACTCAGGACAGTGATTTTAAAGCTGCTCTTGAAAAATGAGTGTCACTTCCTTTCGCTCTCTCCATCATCTGCTCCAGTGGTTGAGCGGAAAGAAATGTGACCGACAATCACAAGGAATTGTGTGCACAAAGCCGAGCCATATGGCCAGTTGCACTACTTGCTACACGGTGATTTCTTTGCCCGAAGTGCCTTTTAGTACCACAGTTGCTAATTTTTAGTTGTCACTGTGAAAATTTAACACTGGCATATTATTATACCTCTGTAAACGGTCAAGGTCACTACAGTGTTAAACTCGAACTAGAGGGGATTCAGTGTTTTACACAAGGACACTAAGCACCTGAGCTGATGCCATCCAACTTTTTCAATCACCAGGTGAGACAGACGCAGACACAGAAGGTATAAGAATCCTGAAATTCAAAAACACAAGGGAGTAAGGAAGAAGAGCTTAGGCCATAAGAGGAGAAACTGGAAAAATGAAAGATATACAGTATATGTGGAAGAGGGGGGTAGGGAGGGTGTAGAGCTATCTCATATATGGGTAAAGTGGAAGTTTACCACTTCAAGAGTGTGAAGCAGAAGAAAAAGGAAAGACAAGGCCAGGTTTAAGAAGAAAGCATGTGTTCTCTCTCCTCATTTAGTCTGTGATACAATATTCCTGTCAAGGTTGTGTACTGTACTCAGTGCACTTATCGGGAGCGTGAAAATGATAGCTACAGCAGCTCCATAAATAATTGTGGGTGAAAAAGCCTGGAAGCCTTTGATTTATACTGTTCTTGGAGAAGATGGACAAGAAGCAAGAAGAGATGGCAAGAATTGCAGATGAAGAAAGTCAGAATGACAGAGGGATTTTGAGGGTGTGTCGGGTGTTTGTGTGTGTGTGTGTGTGTGTGTGTATGTGTTGGGGATGCAAGGATGGGTAGAGAATAATGAAAAGACAGAAAGACAGTCCATCTTTGAAAAGTAGGGGAAGGAAGGACAGAGCACGGTGGAGAGAGAGAGAGAGAAAGAGAGAGAGAGAGAGAGAGAGAATGCATCACAGGAAACAGATGAGAGAGGAACAGAGAGGTGAAAGAGATAAAACAGGGAGAATGAAAGATGGTCATAGGGAAGGAAGAAGGGCAGCGAGGAAGGAGGGAGAGGGAATGAGGATGACACAGTATGCGCATGGTAATAAGTGGTTTTTCTGTGCGAGACAATCCATTCATCTCCTTAAGTATTGTCTGATAGGGTAACAACTTGAAAGAAGCAGTAAGCAGCTGGCTCTGTGTCATTTAAATACAGTGAGGAGGGAGAGCTATTTCTGTCTAGTACAGGATAGGCCAGTTCATACTGTCATTTTCAATATACCATCACGTGTGTAAGCCCAGGCTTGTTTCATTTTACTAGACCCACCCATGCCATTTATATGGCATGAATGTAAATGGAATTAGTTTCTTTTAAATTGGATACAAGGTACAGAAAATCTTATTAGAAACGTGAACGGGTTTGGGGTGAACTGTGGGCTTCGGCGTTTTATGCTTCCTCCGTTCAGTCACCCAGCCTCCCTGTCTTCCCGGCTGCTCGGGAACTACCGGGGGAACTACCGGAGGACGGCTACCTGAAGCT